GTAACAATGGTAGAAACTGACGTTTGTGTTCGTAACAATGGTAGAAACTGACGTTTGTGTTCGTAACAATGGTATAAACTGACGTTTGTGTTCGTAACAATGGTAAAAACTGAGAAATAACTGAATGGTAGAAATTTATAAGTGCACGTAGCCTGACAATGACAAATTGACACGCTTGTGTATGGATAACAATGATAGAGTTTGAATTCACAATATACATGTCATATACTGAGCAGAATTGTAATACTGTATTTATTTAAATACAGCATTACAATTTAAAGTTTGTTATATATATGTTGTTGACTAACTCGGTGCAGTGTTATCTAGTTTATATTATATTATTTGCAGGAATGGAACTTTTACGATACTCAACCTATATTGGAATCAGAGTTATATTTTCAGGGAGTTTTCTAAAGAAATTCTACCGTAAAAGCTGGGATTTACTGAATTTGGTTATACAGTTTATTCCCTAAATATATTTTTTAAATCGTCACATCTTACGCCATGATGAAATCTACAATTGTTGAAGTAAACACGTGGTTTTATTCATCTTATTCGCTTTATAAAGAATCGTGTTTCTCTGTCAATCCTTATACAGTATATAACATTTCATAAAATGCGATATTTAATAGATTGTGGACTCGACAAAAGGATCACCCGATATAGTGAATAATTTTGTTTCTCTTCGCTGTTCTTTATGTATATAGGGAATGATTTAACTCGTCCTACGTTGAGAACACTAATAACTGACTAGAAATGTACAGGACAATGTAGAGGAGGCCCAGAAAAACAATTTTTGTGCGGGGCCCCTGACATAAAAGGGCCCCAAAATTAAATTTTTGTATGAAAGTGGAGCCCATCTCACTCCTAAAGATCTGTCTGCTAATTTGTGTTTAAAATAAACTGAAGACCGACTTTTCTATCAAAGAAATGATCCAAAAATATGTAGATTCTATGACTAGGATAATTTTTATGTAGGAAAAGTATAATTTTATTAACTTAATATTATTTATTTTATTAGTTTTAAGTATTTACTTTTAATTTCCATCGAAATTTTTCAAAATTTTCTCCGTTTTTTGCCTCAAAAAACTGCTAAAATAGCAATTTTTTTTCCTTTATTATATTCCTAAATCTGGATATATAAAGAGCTGGAGGCAATTTAGGTGTGTGTTACACGGTATAAAGGTCGGATAAGAGGGAAGAGTTACACCAACTACTTCAAGTTTTCGATAACTTAAAAGCTTATTATTGGAAAAATACACGAAAAATTCAACTTTAAAGTATAATTTTTTTTCGTTTTAAAGTTAGTTTTTCATCAATTGATACTCAGGAAATGGCACAAAGATATTTACTTTACTTGCTAATCTCCAGAAAATGAGTGTTCTGGAGAGAGATGAAAAAAAAATTCATTTTATTTCACTAAAAATTCAAAAATTCGACCCTGTTTTATCGTCTTTATTCATATGTAGCCATGCCTTTTTATCAAAAGTTCAAGAAATCGATAATAGATTGGGATTTATCGATACAGATATAAACGACAGAAATCTTAAATTAATCAAATAATTTACAATAATTTTAAATTCATTTTAAGAAAAACGATGGACAATTATAAACGTAATTAATTTATTATAGAAATATTTAAAAATTTGTAAAAATGTTAAGAGAAATCGTATACGAATGTTTACAACACCATTATAATTAGCTTCCTTTATACATTATGAGTTGCTTTTTAAGTAAAGTTAAGCTTTCGTCATATTAACTTTTAATACGCTTGAGAGTGGAGATTTTACTTGTTAATTAAACTTATATAAAGGTATTTGATTGGCATTTTTTTTTAATATAAAAATCTCATAAATTTAATAATTTGACACGCAACTTGTTAAGT